CTAAATTCAGGTGGGATATATTCAAGGTCATATTTTGGCTCTTGTGGACTTGTTTTCATTTTCTTCAGATTCAGTTTGAATTTGCATATGAGCAATTGGTAGTTTGTTCCACAGTCTGCCCCTGGCCTTGTTTTGACTGATGACATGGAGCTTTTCCATCATCTCTTTCCGCAGATGTAGTCAATTTGATTTCTATGTATTCCATCTGGTGAGGTCCATGTGTATAGCTGTCTCTTGTGCTGTCTGAAGAAGGTATTTGAAATGAACAAATCATTGATTTTGCAGAATTCTATCATGCGTTCTCCAGCATCATTTCTATCACAAAGGCCATATTTTCCATCCACTGATCCTTCCTCTTTGCTCCCAACGTTTGCATTCCAGTCACCAGTAATGATCAATACATCTTGATTGCATGTTTGATCAATTTCAGATTGAAGAAATTGGTAGAATTCTTCTATTGCATACTCACTGGCTTTAGTGGTTGGTGCATAAATTTGAATAATAGTGGTATTAACTGGTCTTCCCTGTAGGCACATGGATATTATCCTATCACAGACCACATTGTACCTCATGACTGATCTAGATATGTTCTTTTTGACGATGAATGTAACACCATTCCTGTTCAATTTGTCATTCTTGCATAGTAAACCATGTGGTTGTCAGATTCAAAATGGCCAATACCAGTCCATTTCAGCTCACTAATGTGTAATATATCAATGTTTATGTGTTCCATTTCATTTTTGACAACTTCCAATTTTCCCAGATTCATACTTCGTACATTCCATGTTCCGATTTTCAATGGATGTTTACAGCTGTTTCTCTTCATTTTGCGTTGTGCCCCATTAGCACATGAAGGTCCCGTGGGCTCTTCTCCCATGAGCTTTACTCCATTCGCGTCATCACGGTCAACTCTACTTTGAGGAGGCAGTTCTTCCCCAGTCGCATTTTGAGTGCCTTCTAACCTGAGGGGCTCATTTTCCGGCACTATATCTGACAGTGTTTCTCTGCTATTCGTAAGGTTTTCAGTCACTAAAGATTAAGTAGTAGTTCATCACTCTTTCTTCCTAATAGTACTACTGTGTCATGGAGGCCACTGTAGAGCAGGGGGCTACCGAGGGGCAGGGACTGCTGCTGGAGATCTGCTTGTGGTCCAGTCTGCTGTCCCTCCCTTTGTGCTCACAGTGGCACCTGGGCAGCTTCCTACCAGATGCCAAGGCAAGGGTGACTATCCAGTGGTTCACTTGACCATGGACATGAGCCCTCCTACAGACCCCCACTTGGGGCTGCTCAGGCAGTGACTCTGGGCATGGTCCTGTGCCCCCATGTGCCCGTGAGCCCTGGGGCCATGCCTCTGTACTTGAGTGCCCACCACCACCAAGCAGGATTCACACATAACTACTGCTCTCAGCTCATACCGCCCCCTGCTGGACCAGGTGGGACTCTGGCGTCTGGGAGCACAGGGAGTCGCAGTGAATCCGTGCGACCATGCCTGTGTGCGACCCTGTCCACATACCTGTGCAGCCCTGCCCACTAGGCCTCTGTGGATAGTGTGGAGACTGCACATCAGACTTCTAAGGCCCTTCCATGTGCTTTACCAGAGTCAAGAGGCAAGTCAGAAACGGGAGTGGGGATTTGGGGGCAGACAGTGGGGGGGACCCTGATAGCACCAGCTCTGACACTGAGCCACAGAGATGCCCCTAACCACTTGGTTGTGCTGGCCAGACATGGGCCCCTTCTGACGTCCCCACACAGCCTTTCCCCTTGCACCCCTGACTCAGCTGCAGGGAATGTTGGGCCCAGCCTGGCCTGCGGGGAGACATGCCGGAACATTCCACCGCACAGTAAGCCCACACGCCCCTCCAGTGCTAGTTGCCTCTCTCTCCACCGTTAGTGCCTCTCTGAGGCCTCTTTTCAATAGAATCCTTTCAATTCCGAAATGAATCACCTTAGCTAGCTGCAGCTGACCCAGCTGGAGCTACTTCTGTGCAAACTTGCTACAACCTGAACTTTAATGACAACCTAAGTGGCTCCTTGCTCCTGAGGCCTCTATGGTCAGCTACATGTGTGGACAGCTGTGTCCATACCAAAGCTCTCCCCACCGTTATGAAAGGGTGAGGTCCTTGGTGGAGAGAGGCCCCAGGGAATTCCTTTGATTAGGAGGGGGACAGCACATGGTGCCGATCAACGCTTGGCCCGCTCAACTCCTGGCACCCCCAGGGCATCCCCAGCCACCCACTGAAGCCTCTCTGCTCTCCTGTAGCACAGGCCACGAAGATCATGATTGAAGGCCCAGAGGTGGTGGACCTGGTCCAAGGAGCCATGCTCATGTTGAACGTCCAGCTGCATCAGGAAGATGGCAAGTTGGCCAAGGGTGAGCATCTGTAGGCCGCCATCCGAAATGGTGAGGTCAGCATGTGTCAGCCTCAGAGGTAGTAAAAGCTGGACACGACATCATGTTCGGCTGCTAGCATTCCAGACTCCCCTGTGACCTTGTGGTGACCTTGTTCTGGAGGTTCTGTGAACTTGCCAGAGGCTTCTCAGACGAGCACTTAAGCTTTCCCACTGGTGGGGCAGCTATGCTTATGCGTGTGTGTTCATGTGCTGATGCTGCATGTCCACACACATGTGAGCGTGTGCACAGATGCATGGATGTGCATGGGGGCTACTTGTGTGACATGTGCATTCTCAGCCACCCTCAGTCCTCACGCATCTTGCAGAAGACCGTCCAGACACTGTCCATAACCGTGTGTGGATCAAGGCTGTGTGAGTGTGGGTGGCCGGTGGCCCTGCCTGTCAACGGGAGGGATTCGCATTGTCCCTTTGGAGGTAATGAAAGAAAAACAGATTCCCATCTGTCTGGGCTGTTATTAAGGTCATTAAACCACCCATGATTCCATACAGAAGAATGGACGAGATGATTCCCTAAACCCTTCTCTTCAGGGTGCCAAAAGTGCCTGGAGAGGTTGGCACATAGTCATGGCAGCCAGGCTGCCGAGCCCCTGTGCCATCACTGGGGCGGATCGCCCTGCTAATAAACCGTGCCCAGGATCCTTACCATAAGTGAGTTCATCTCCATTCAAGCTCTAACTAGAAAGTCGTGATGGGCGGCATACATCAAATCTATTTAGTCACAATTGGTTTATTTTAACAACTTTATTGTGGCATCATTTACATACCATAAAAATCACCCACATTAAGTGATTCAGTGATTTTTAGTAAATTTGCAGTGGGGCAGCCTTCACTACAGCTTGGTGTTAGGACAGATCCTGGCTTCCTGCTAGCAGTTAATCCTTGTTCCCACCCCAGCCTCAGGCAAGCACTAACCTACTTTCTGTCTCTATGGATTTGCCTTTTCTGGACATTTCATACAAACAGAATCCTATGACACGTGGCCTTTTGTATCTGGCTTCTTTCACTTAGCTTTGTATCTTTGACGTTCATCCATGTTGTAGCGAGTATCAGAACTTCATTTCTTTTTTATTGATAAGTTGTTGTTGTATGCTCTCAAGTCAGTTCCAAATCATAGTGACCCGATATAGGGTTTCCAAGGAGGGTTTGGTGGGTTTGAAGTGCCAACTTTGGACCATTATACTGATACTATATTTTGTCTATCCATTCATCCATTCAGAGGTGTCACTGGGGTGGGGGGTGGGGGGTGAGACCAAAATGACTCCAGGGTCTGCAGCAACAACAGCAGGAGGGCAGGGCATGGGGGAGAGGACTCCAAGGCAGTTGTGTCACCCAGTCTGTTAACTCGTTACTACCCCCCACACACACACACTTTTCAGTCGGGGCATGCCATGGCACCCACTATGAGAGAGGAGGCACTGTGGGGAACTGGAGCAGAGGGCAGAACCAGGGCTGGGCTGCACGGCCTGGTACTCAGCCCAGTGTGGGGGTCACCAACTGGCACCACTTACAGTGAGGGGCAGTGACTTCACGAGTTTCCACACTGAGTGCCAATTGGTGAGTTGTTTGCAGATTTGGGCTATTAGGGATAACATTGCTATGAACATTCATGTGTAAATTTTTTGTGAAGGCATAGATTTTAGTTTCTCTTGGGTAGATCTTGAAGTGTGAAATTGTTGGATCATATGGTAGATTTAAGGAGGCTGGTGAGGATGAACCTCAAAGTCTGCGGTTCAAGCTTACCAGCAGCTTTTTGAAAACCCTATACAGGGTTTGCTATAGGTCACAACCAACTTGACAGCACTTAACAACAACAACCAACCAAAAGGTCTGCAGTTAAAACGCACCAACCACTCCTCAGAAACCCTATACAGGGTCACTGTAAGTCGGAACTGACTTGGCAGCACTTAATAACAACAGTGGCACTATAGGATAAGCACCGCACTTTTAACCACCAGGTCGACTGTTGAAATCTACCAGCTGCTCCAAGAAAAATGAGGCTGTCTGCTCCCATAAAGATCTACAGCCTTGGAAACCCAATATAGGGTCTCTATGAGTCAGAATCAACTTGAGGTCAGTGGGTTTGGTTTCTGTTTTGGTGGTACACTAAGGAGCCCTGGTGGCACAGTTGAATAACCACAAAGTTGGCAGTACAAACCCAACAGCCAGCCACTCCGAGGGAGAAAGAGGAGGCTGTCTACTCCCATAGAGATTTACAGCCTTAGAAACCCTACACCAGGTGGATATAAATCAGAATCAGCTCCATGACAGTGGGTGGGTGCTACAGTGGGTTAAGTGTTAGGCTGCTAGCCAAAAGATCAGCAGTTCAAACCCACCAGCCACTTGAAACCCACTCCTAGTGAGAAAGATGAGGTAGTGTGCTTCTATAAAGAATGACAACCTCGGAAACTCTAGGGAACAGTTATACTCCATGCGATAAGAGTGGCTATGAGTCAAAATCGCCTCCTTGGCAATAGGTTTGGTTTTAGTTTATGGCATATTTATATTCGACTTTTAAAGAAACTGTCAAACTGTCTTCCAAAGGGGTGGTGCTGTTTCACATTCCCATCAACAGCACACGAGGCTCCTGTTTCTCCAAACCCTCAACACCTTGAATTGTCCTCCACTGCTGTTAGATGACAACCATCCTAGTGGGTGTGAAGTGGTATCTCAATGTGGTGGGTTTTTTTTAAATGTTTTATTGTGAATTATGTGATAGTTTACATGGGAGAACATTAGTTTTACATTCATCCTATCGTATATCGTTTCATTGCCATGTTTACAATCCCCTCCATGCATCATCAACCAACCAAAGGGTATACCTTACAAGCCTGCCCCTGGTCATGAGCACACAGCCCCTCTCCCTCTCTGGGTCTAAAGTCCCCAGCTGCTCCATCTCTCCACATCATCATCTCTGCCTCCATCTCAGGCATCACTGTTTCTCTGGGTAGAGTCCCACTCTCCGCTCTTCTCCCTTGATGGTTCCAGGGACCTCCGCTCCTAGACTGAAAAGTTAATAGCTCCCCTCTTTGCTACAAAATGTCTACCTTTACATTTCCAAGCCTCACAAGCAGTCCTGATAACAATTATTCACTGTTGTATCACAATGTGGTTTTGATATTGACCATCTTTTCATGTGCTTGTTAGCCATTAGGGGTCCTGAGGTGGTGCTGCAGGAAAATGCACTAGACCACAAGGTCAGTTTGAACCACGAAGTCAGCGGTTCAAATGCAGCAGCCACCCTTAGAAATCCTAGACACGGTCAGTACGAGTCAGACGGCAGCACGTCACCACAACAATTAGCCATCTTGTCTTTTCACTTTTCCTATTTGCATATTTTGAGTTGTCTTCTTATTTTGAGCTATACACATTCTCTAAACATCCTGGATCCAAGTCCTTTATTAGATCTTATCTTTGAAAATATCTTCTCCCTTTGAAGTGCAAAAGGAAACAGAACTATTGTTTATTGTACCCAAGAATCCTTTGCCTAAGCAAAGGTCCCAATGATTTTCTCCTGTGTTTTTATAGATGTTTTAAAGTTTTTATTCTTACATTTAGATATGTGATCTATTTTGAGTTAATTTTTTTCAGCTAAGATGAAAATCTAAAATCATCTTTTTTGTATGTGGGTATCCATTGATCCCAGAACCATTTGTCGCAGACTGACTGTGTCCCATTGAATTGCATTGGCACTTTTGGTTGGCACTTTTGACACTCAGTTGACCATAAAGGTAAGGGTGTATGTCTGGAGTCTTCATTCCATTCCATGAGTCTATAGGTCTGCCCTTATACCAGAACCCCATTGTCTTAATTATGATATGTTTTGATATTGGACAATCCTCCAATTTTGTTCTTTGTCAAAATTATTTTGACTATTCTGGGACTTTTGCATTTTCATATAAATTTTTTTTTCTTAAATTATTTATTGTGAATTATGTGATAGTTTACATGGGAGAACATTAGTTTTACATTCATTCTATCGTATATCGTCTCATTGCCATGGTTACAATCCCCTCCATGCAATCCTTCCATGCCCCCCAGGTCTTCAGCACACAGTCGCTCTCCCTCTCTGGATCTAAAGTCTCCAGCTGCTCCATTGCTCCACGTCATCATCTCTGGCTCCATTTCAGGCATCACTGCTTCTCTGGGTAGGGTCCCGCTCTCTGCTCTTCTCCCTTGATGGTCCTAGGGATCTCCGTTCCTAGACTGAAAAGTTAATCACTCCCCTCCTTGCTATAAAACGTCTACCTTTACATTTCCAACCCTCACAATCAGTCCTGATAACAGTTACTCATTATTGTATCACAAGAGACCCGTCTGTATTTCATTGCATCAGCACCGGCTAGTCAGATTGAATACTACACACTGGAGATTTTACCTTCCTCCAGGCCCTCTGGGTCTAGGTTCCCTCTTGAAAGCTTGTAAGCCAGTCACTTCTTGCCTTTGTAGCCCCCCACCCCCAATTTTGGGTAGCCAATGTCCAAGTTGCCCATCCCTGTCTACTTTGTGTGTGGCGGGGGTGGGAATCCACACACAAAAAAATCTGCTAGAATTTTGATAGGAATTGTATCAAATCTATCAGGAGGAAATGTGATTATCTTACTAGTATTGAGACTTCCAACTGAAATACCTCTCTATTTATTTGGATCTTTACTTTCTCTCACCAGTGTTTAATAATGTTCAATTCACAAGGTTTAAATTTAGTTAGTTAGAATTATCAATAAATCACTGTTAATAATGAATCACTTTATTATTAATTTACATTCAAAGATATAATTAGAGTTGATTATTAATAACTCCACCACTCATCTGTCAGTTTGTAGCACTGTGGTGGCTTACATGTTGCTGTGATGTTGGAAGCTATGCCACTGGGATTTTAAATATTGGCAAGGTCACCCATGGTAGACAGGTTTCAGTGAAGCTTCCAGACTGAGACAGACTAGGAAGAAAGAGAGGTGAACC